ACATATTTGTTTATGAAAAATAATTTATTATAATGTAATAGTTTTTAATTGATACTGAAAATGTTAAGATGATTCCTAAGTTCTTAATAGCTAAGGATCTAATTTTAGGACCTAATTAACAATGCCGTCATTAACCTACTACACATATGTTCGAGGCTTGATAATTGGCACTTTTGATTAGAAATGACAATAGTAACATGGCATAAGTAATAAATAATAATATATTATTTTCTCTTAATTTCTTTTTCTATTTTGATGGTGTGTGTTTTTTTTCCAAACCACTTCCAAGTAATTTATAATTATGCTAAAAAATTAACATAATTGGTCAGAATTAAGAATATCTTAACAACATATTGATCAATCTTTTTTTTCTCCCATGCTCTACCTAGGGTTAGGGGCAGTGGCGACGACGGGTTTCTCCCTAAATTCTCTCTCTGGTTAGGAGTTCCTCCCTCTTCCTCTTCCTCTTCTTCTTCGACAAGGGTTTCTCCTCTTGCTCTCTTCCTTCATCCTCGTCATCTGTCTTGTTTTGGAAACTTCAACCCAAGGGACCACAAGGCAACGACTCTTTTCGATTGACATTGGCTATTGATTTTTGACGGATGTGTCTGGATATCGAGGGACTTAATCTTGTCGGTGGTTGGATTTCTCCCATTCACCGAGTCAGATTTTCACTTAGGCATGTCTCCTCAGATGAGATCTTGGCAGGGGTTACATTCGGAGAAACTAGCGCACTCCAATTTTTGATTTGGCAGCCAAATACCGAAAGACATGGCTGCTGTTGGCACTTTGGGTTTTGATCTGCACAGGAAGCATGCTACTCACGTTGGCAAAAGGGCTTTAGTTCCCTTCACAAGCTTCACTAGCAAGGGTTTTCAAAGGATTGGGAATGATGGGCACATGATTGGAAGTATTCGACGAAGATTGGGGAGGCTTCACTACAAGAAAAATGGTTTTTAGTGACAAAAATTTGTGATGAATTTTGAAATCATCACTATAACTTATCACTATAACTTATCACAATTGTGATAGATCTAAAAAATTAGTCACAGATGTATGCATATTTAATGATGAAGAAAAAAAATTCATCACAAAAAATATATTTCGTCACCGAAAAATGCTCATAGAGATAAAATAAGTTTTTGTCGATAAAAATCGTCACTATAATGCATTACAATTATGACAAAATTCTAATATTAGTCACATATACCTTACATATTCAATGATGACCAAATAATTTATCACCAAAAAATATATTTCGTCACCGAAAAATGCTCATAGAGATAAAATAAGTTTTTGTCGATAAAAATCGTCACTATAATGCATTACAATTATGACAGAATTCTAATATTGGTCACATATACCTTACATATTCAATGATGACCAAATAATTCATCACTAAAAATATATTTTGTTATTAAAAATTATCAATTTTCTCTAATCAATACAGCTCATATCGATAAAAAATACATAAAATGATAAAGTTTTGCACTATAAATATATCCTACATCGATGATAAATATTTCCCACATTGATGAGAAATATTTAAGAAAATAAATTTTTGCACTATAAAACATGTGAAGCTCAATAAAACTTGAGATTAGTTTTAACCTTATTAGTTTTAATCGGACTTAATTAATTTTAATCAAAATTGATTAGTATTGAAATAATAATATTTTTTATTAAACTTTTGTGATAAATTTGTATATTATTTTTTTGTGACAAAATTTTTGTTACAATATTTATGTTGTAATTATGTAAATATCTTTTTTATTTAATATCAATTTTAATAATTAAAGACTAAATTTTTCATTGCAATTGCATTTGTGACTATTTTTTTGCCACTCAATTGTAACATTTGTGATGAAAATTATTGTAACAAAAAATAATTTTTTTTTACGAATAAAATTATTATAAATAACTTATTAACAATGTCAATTTTTTCTATTACTATAAAATTATTTTCTATAACAGGTATCTACTTTGTCACTAAGAACATTAGTGACAAGGATTTTATTAACGGTTTAAATTTTATCACTAATAATAATTTGTGACCAAAAATAAAGATTTAATGATAAATAATTTAGTCACTAAATATGAATTTTCTTGTAGTACTTGTATTTGTTCGGAGACTTGGCCAAGAGGAACAGGATGCCATTGGTGAAGCTGATTATGTTTTGCAATGGGCTCTAGTTCCTTTTCACGGTTTAGGCAACAAGGGATTGAGAGGGTTGGTAAAGTAGAGACACATGCTTATGCTGAGGGGGTTCTTACCCTTCTTCCTGTTGGGTGATTTTGCACTAAGGTGGCAACATGTAGGTTGGTGACTGTTTGTTGTTAGAATTCCTGCTCTTCCCATGAAGCTGGTTAAATAAGTGAAAAAGTCTAGTAGCTTTTATGATCATAGTAACTCTCTTTTTTACATTTGCAGCCTTATTTAGGTCATACAGCGATTGCATTTGCAATTTTTAGTTATAAATGATTCTCTTTACTTAATTGTCTATATTCATCATGGATATAGTTTAAATCTACTATTAGTACTATAGGTTATATTTCTGATTTTATTTTTAGGCTGTAATGCTTTAGACTATATGCTCTAATGGAGATTTTTTTTGTATCTTCTTATTATTTAATATAATTTTCTCCATTTCCTATATAAAAAAATATATATATATATCTTAACAACAAACGTTCACTCTTTTTTACACTATTATCTCAAACCAATTACATGTGAACTTGTTATTTGCTACCACACATACTTTCTCTAATCTTTTACTCACAATCCAAAAACCCAAGCTACCCATTTACCAAAACAAAAACACAAGCCACCTATTTACATACTTAAGTCCTTGGCTTATTAATTTTTCGCCACTATTTCACTATCATTGTGGAAACATCTCTGAGTTCTAATCAAGAACTTTTTTTCCAGATTTTTCCATGTATCTCTTGATCTTTCTCACTTTCTAAAGGTAATTTATTTCGTAACTTTTTGGATTTTTTTAAATTAAAAAATGGTATATTTCAGACATATGAAAAAACTCTCAACTGATATGAGAATTCGGTTTGTAGTCATTACCTGAAACGCCGTCGTTTGGGCATTTCGTAGGTGACCTTTTTAAAATATTCAACCCTCGGCTTCTCCGCTGCAGTATCGAGAGCGGCCCCGAATCTTCCGGCGACAATATCTTATCCTTCCCCATCACCACCTCTATATAGTCTGCGTTCAGTTCCCATGAACTTCCTGGTAACACTTTAACCTCTCTTCTCATCTCCCCAGCGTAATCAGTTTTGATCCAGTTTCTTCCTTTCCCATTAAATAGGAGAAGCTAAGGATGCAGAAGAAGGAGCCAGATAAAGAGAAACCGCCTAAATTTGAAGGACCCATCTACTGGTTCGAGACCTCTGACTCCGTTACTCGAAGATTCCAATTTGAACCCGACGGCCAACTCTCCGTGAGTATATTTGAATTTGTATTTCCGGTTTAGACAATTTTACAAACAATTGGTGTGCATGTTTGTTGATCTTCGTTTTGAATACGAATGGCTTTACACGGATATCGTAAGTGATTCTGTTGACCCAAGAAAGAAATTTTATTCCTTTCTTGTTCATTCGGTGTAGATGAAGGTGCTTGACGACTCAAGACAAGTATTCCAGAGAGTGGCTGAATCCTTCCTGAATAAATTTTTCCCATCTGGCTATCCATATAGGTAAAGTTGTTTCGTTTATAGTTGGAGAAAGTACTGCATTGGATTTAGCATGTGCAGACATAAATATCTTTTGGTGTTGTTTAGTGTGAACGAGGGATATCTTAGATACACACAATTTCGGGCACTGCAACACTTGTCCAGTGCAGCATTATCTGTCTTGTCAACTCAGGTCTTCTTCTTATGCCTACTGGCTTATATAAATTGATGTCATAATAGTTTAAAGCTATTTCTGATGGAGAACATGCACTAGTTGATAGCTTCACAGTGAATACTTGAACTTCTTTCTTTTGCTTTTATAAGATTATCCTTCACAGTCTTAATTCCTAATAGAGGGGGACACTGGTCATTTCTTTATATTCTTACTTCTTTGCAGTCACTGCTATTTGCTGCAGGCTTGCGACCCACCCCTGCACAGGCAACTGCTGTAAGTTGGGTAAGTTGTTGTTAGTGTATTAACTGGTGCTAGATTTCTGGTCTTAACTGCAGTTCCTTTCAGAAGGTTTTATTCATTTTGTTTATCTGCAGATATTGAAGGATGGGATGCAGCATATGGGAAAGCTCATATGTAGCCATTTGGGTGCAAGAATGGATTCTGAGCCAAAACGTTGGAGAATTTTAGGTTCATATCTCATTTTACTTTGTGATGAATGTGCATTTTATTTCAGATGTTAACTATTGACTTCTATTTAGATTTTAACGGAAGCTTTATCTTGCAGCTGATGTTCTCTATGACATGGGTACTGGTTTGGAAGTTCTTTCGCCCTTATGTCCTCATCTTTTTCTTGAAGTGGCAGGACTTGGTAATTTTGCGAAGGTATACCCTTTTCTTCCTGATTCAGTTGAATTTCCAAGGACTGTCATTCATTTCATTTCCTTGAAAATGTTTGAATCATTTTGGTGTATGATCAATGCAATAAATTTTCCACTTTAACACTTCAAAAAGAGAACTAAAGGGAGGAAAACTTGCCTTTTCTCCACCTTTTTCCCTTTTCTCCAGTTTTACAGCATTCTTTGCTTATACATCTCAGTTAAATTCTTGCTTTCCATTTAAGGGAATGGCAGTAGTTGCAGCAAGAGCAACTAGATTACCAATATATTCTTCATTTGCAAAAGAAGGGAATCTTAGTGACTTATTTGCAAAAGGAGAGGCAATATCAACACTTTTTAATGTTGTTGGATTGGGAGTTGGGATTCAATTAGCATCCACTATTTGCTCGTCAATGCCAGGGAAGGTAATAAACTGGTTACAGCCATCTGTATCAATAATTTACAAATTTATGCTCAGAAGATTACTTACTCTTTGCATGAAATACAAATTTCAAGATAATCCCTTTTGTTTATTCTAATCATTTCAAGGAACATCTTGCAATTAAAAATGTCTTCAACTGGCATTTAGCATAGCTATCTTCATAAAAAAATGTTTTCTTTTGAGTATCTTGGTTTCCTTTTTAGCAAGATCTTCTTTTAGGTTCATAATAGGCTTTCCAACAAATCTGTTAATAACCATACAAAAGTTATCCCGTACATTTTGAATTGTCCCTATGGAATCTCAAAAGATCTCTTGGGTTAATCAAAACCTAGCTATCTATATGAGTATTACAGACAAATTTGCAGGCAGAACTACTATTCAATTTTATGTCTGCGGATGTTTATGCACAGCTACTAGATGTGGTCCTGTGGATGCGTTCAGGCATGCACTTATTAGTCAGAAATATCCTATTTTATGTTAATGATCAACAACTTCTTGCAGTTGGTTGCTGGGTCGCTTCTCTCTGGCATACATGTATATAGTGTCATTGAAGAAATGAGAGCTGCTCCTGTCAATACATTGAATCCACAAAGGACTGCAATGATTGTTGCTGATTTTCTAAAGGTTTATTTTACATGTTGTGAGCTCAATAATTTTGTCTGTTAAGTTATTCATCTTCCTATTTGTTTATTTATTTAGTTTTTTCTCTCTTTTAATTGAATGCAATTCAGACAGGAAAAGTGTCCAATCCTGCTGACCTGAGATACCGTGAGGATCTCCTCTTCCCAGGTCGACTAGTAGAAGAAGCAGGGAATGTAAAAATAGGGGGGCCTTTTCACAAAGTTATGAAGCCTTCACAGCTTAAGCTATGGAAAGAAATATTTCCAGAAGAGAAGTTTGTTTTGAATCTTGGTGACACATGGACTGACATGTTGTTGGAGCACAATGCTACAGGGGAAGATGTATTAAAGGGGTGGCTCATTGCCGCATATGCTGCAGAACTGAAGAAATCTTCCCCTGAGTCCAATGTTTGTGTCTTGCAAGATGCTTATGAGAAGGTGGATAAGGTGTTCACCCCATTTTTTTCTGAGGTGCAGGCCAAAGGGTGGCATACAGATCGTTTTCTTGATGGAGCAGGAGGCCGTTTTGCTTATTAATTTTCTCTAGTTGATACTTCACTGCTTTCATGAGCAATCCAGCAACATGCTAAAGGCTAATGTTGCCTCTCAGAAATAGGTCCATGTTTGTTTAGGGAATTACTGATGCCTGTGTAACAATAAGTTTAACTGTTGCTTGCAGCAATATATGATTTCACATCTGCATTTATCCCTCATCAAAGCTCTCTCCATTTTTTTTTTTTGGGCCAAAGGAAGACTTCATTGCTTATATCATCGAAACAAAGTTCTTATAGACACTTAGAAAAGAAGCAAAACCAAGCGGCCTGAGCTAAGCCCATGAGATGCTTAAATCCTCCTCACCCAAAGGGCAGGGTCCGTTTCCCTCCGGACCAACCCTTGTCAAAATAAAAAAATGACTGAATTTTATTTTCCATAGAAGACTACATTTTATCATTTGAATATCTCAGTTAGGCATTCATTTTTCTTTATGTAATAATTTGAATTTATTTATTTATTTTAAGTTGTACAATAAAATATCTTTTTCCTATTCTTTATGCAGCCCATTTTCATACTTATAACTTAAACTGAAACATTTTACTTCTATTAAAATTTTTTTTTCTATAACACAAATAGGCATTATTATTATTATTATTATTATTATTGTTCTTTTAAGTTGTACATGTGAAACAATTCTTTTTCATCCCCTAACTCACATTATCCACATACTACTACTCAAGCTCAAAGTGTAGCATTTAATGCTTGTTTGGTTTGAGAGTTCCCTTTCCTCTCCCTCATTTAGTTATACTAAAACGTACAAAGGAAATTAAAGAGAAGTTCCTTCCCTTCCCTCAAACCAAATATTCTCTTAGAGTAATATCAACACTTTAGGATATAACAATAACCTTAACTCTTTAAAACATTAACAATATTGTATTATAATTAGACATTTAATATATTTTATTCAAAATTATTAGAAACACAATTTTATTTCATTAAAAATTTTTGCAATAATGACATATCATCAAACAAATAAATACATGGCATATCAATTCATGGAATGGAAATGATCACCCAACAAATTGTTAGGGCCACACAAACTTTTAAATTTTATCTTATAAAATATTAATTCTATTTAGTTTGATGCTTAGAAATAGCTAATAAATATAATTGGTAGTTGATAAATAATAAATAGTTAAAATTCATTACTTAAAAAATTAAAATCAAATTACAAATTAATATTTTTGAATACCAAACTAACTGTTTATTGAGAAAAAAAATTGCGTGAATTCAACTATTTATTGAATGGTCATAACCATTCCCATAAATTCATATGCTTAAAGTACCCTATACTTTTCTTTAGAGATTTTAAATTCTGGTTATACAACATAATTTAAATAAAACTGGAAAAAGATTATTCCTACTCTTCTCTTCTAAAATAGTTCTCCTTTTTTCTACTTTTCTTATGAGAGTCCTTTTTTAAATATATTGTTGTTTATATTAGAAAGAGAAGATTTTGATGATAAAATGAAAAATTAAACTTAAAGATTGATATAAAAAATGTTAAGGTGGAAAGAAAAACAATACCCCACTTAAAAAAATATATTATTAATTTAAGACAATTTTTTTTAAAAAAAATAACAATTATTTTGTAACAAAATAGAGTATTAAAATAATTTTTAGAAAAGGAAACAGTTTCCTTTAGTAGAGTATCTTTGATTCCAATTTTTATGAAGTTCGTGTCCTTATTTTAAAATTTTCCTCTAAGAATCAAATCATTTTATATGTAGGGCAAAATAGCGGGGTAGTCGTTTGATGAATTGATTGAACTTAGTTCGAAGTAATATTATTTAAAAGGGCAATTGATATTTATTTTTTTAGATCACGTATCGACTTAGGATATATACTTCAATGAACATTCTCTGATTCTCTTGCTGGTTATTACTTTGTATGAAAAGAAAAATGGGCAGATTTCCTTTGCAGTCCAAAGAAGAGAAGGAAAAGCTGTAGGGGATTTAGGTAGTGTTTAGGGTTGCTTTTTTCCTTTATTTTTTCACACAATACTTTATAAAAGTATTAATTTATTATAATTAAATTGAATTTTAATTAATATTTCATATAATTTAATAATTATATTAATAATTATCAAATAATAATATATTTTTTATAATAAAATATGAAAAAAAGTTAAAACCACAATCACAATCACAATGTTTTACAACAATCCTAACCACAACCTTAGACATATGGAAAGTTTGGGGCATGGTCATGGTCACCTAAGAAAATGTTGCAATCACATAAATTCTTTTAAATATTGTCTTTAAAATGTCAATTGTATTTGATTTAAGCATAGGAAATAACTAATGGCTGTAATTATAAACTAATAATTAATAAAATAACTAATTTTATTATTTAATAGATTAAAATTAATTTATAAACTTATATTTGTCGATATTATAATTAATTATTTTTAAAAATTACAATTTATGTGATTCTAAGTTTCTAACATCCTTTTGTGTGGCCCTAACATTCTTTTGTAGGGCAATAACTGCATCAGAAGTTTGCTTCTTACATATACTATCTTATTGATTAAAATTAGAGTTTTTAAAGATTTAAGTTTTTAGTGAAACAAATAAAATAATAATTTTTCATAAATAATTTCTTACCCTAGATGTGAATAATATACTTCATAAAGGAATATATAAAATATATATATATATATATATATATATTTCTATGTAAGCACCACATCGTCACTTAATGAAAATTTTAAGATAACATAGAGGAGTAAAGAAAACAAAGTTTAATGACTAAATTTACAAAGGATTTTCTTAATTTTTATTTTTAGAGCATAATTAATATACGTT